TGTCTCCCCTTTCCCCCACACCCATCCCCAGTCACCTATAGATTTATGGGAAGGTGTCATGGCCTTCTGGAACAACCTGGGGCCCACTTTTTCAAGCCTTGAGGAGCCAATTGTCTCCATTCAGGAGATCATCTCTCTCTGTCTGGAAACTTACCTGGATGGACTTCAGATAGTGGAGGACTAACAAAAGTGGAGCACAGAACTGCAGCCACATCATCATTCTGCTTCACCCTCCTGAAGACCTGTCCTCACAGCTGGTGGACCAGCAGTTATCTTAGTTTCAAAGACAACACTATACAATTTTGAGGCTTTTAATGAACTCTGTGTGGCTGTGTTGCTCAGTCTCTTCTTGTAGACTGAGAGACTGTTCCTAGTTGAAAAAAATACTAAAAGTTGTTGGATATTCTGACAAAGCCCTTGTAAATGACTAAGCAAGAGCTCTATGACGTGCTATCCAGTCATACACTAGCTATGGAACACATCAGAAGATGGTAGGTGCCTCCTTCAGGATTAAGTGTTTTTATTCACATCCTCATTCTAGATCTTGGTGGTTCTGGAAAAGTTTCCCTCAACCAAGATCAGAGTGTTAGATAAGGATCATTAATATTTTAAGCATGTCTGATAAAGTCATCTCCTTCAGCATTTTTTCAACTGTGAATGGCTAACTGCCAGGACTTACTGGCCAAATACAACTTTTGTACTTGGGAAGGGATGACATCATTCTCCCTCATGAGAGCAGAGAGGAACTCAGAGTCATAATATGGTGGGGAGTGGATGCATCTGTCAGGATTCAGGGCAGCCAACAGTCTGACTATCCCCCAACTGACCCTTCCTACCTGTGTAGGCCTGGCTGCCAATAGCCTAACTATTTCCAGCTGGCCTCAGTTAGTTTCATATAAGCAGCAGCCCTTTCAGTGCTCAGAAGGCTTCTCGACAGCACAGATGCCTCCCTGGGTAGTTCCTCTGTATTTAGCTATGCTCCAGTCCAGACCCCTCTTTCCTGACAGTTGGCTCCTTGCTCCCTGGCTCATGAATCCAGTCTGGATTCCAGCTTCTTGCTTCTGATCCTCTTGGCTCATGACTCCAGTCTGGACTCCTGCTCCTCATTCTTTGGTTTGTGACCCTCTACTGTCAAGCTCCAACTGCCTATATCCTGATCAGACCCTGACAGCATTGGACACAATCATCAGGTGTGTGGTGATTTTAAAGAGAAGATGTCTGGACTTCCAGATCTGTTCAGAGCCACTATCAAGTGCTTTTCCTTTGACAGATCCCTGGTCTACAACAAGGACTGAGAGCACCTTGCACTCAGTAAAGGACTCTCACAACTGTACACTCCCTCTGAATTTTAAGCACCTACACCTATAAAATATACCATACTTCTTAACAGGAGCAATTACACTGAACACTATCTTGCTAGCTGGAGTTCCATACCAAAAATTGGCTGACCTAAAGCAAAAGATGGCAGCTTTCCTCAGCCTTGTCTACTAGGGCAGTACGAAATTTCACCGACCGTTTTGACACTGTTTCGACTCATTTCAAGGTCAAAACAGCAACATCGAAACAAAACAAAGGGCCTTGAAACAGCCTTGAAACAAAACAAGGTTAGTCAAAACATTTCGACCATAGCGCTGGGGATGGGAAGTCAGCCCAGCTAGGCTGGTTTCCCATCCCCCGTGCTAGATTGTGCTGGGGGCGGGTGGGCTGACTCCCCATGCCCCACGCTAGTCTCTACAGCTCCAAGACAGTAACAGTAGAATCTTTCAGAAACAGAACACATGTGTCCCCACACCTGGGTGACAGGCTGATTAAGGGCAAGTCCTGGGAGACTAAGGCAGCCCTATCCTCTTCTCCCAGTTAGGGCTCCTAAAGAATTACAAAAAACAATCCCTCCTTGCCATATCAGGTAGTAGAATTCATAGGTTCAGGCTGACCATGAATTGTGTTCTGTCTTCTGCATGGCCTATTCAAGGCTCTTTAGTTGCTTTTAGATGACATTAAAGACAAAAATCAACCACGACCATCTATGTGTACCTGAGATTACTAGAACATATCCCTGTATGCGTGTATGTGACCCTCCCTGCCAGTTTTCATCTGTGACTATTACAATACTGACCAAAGACACTATAATTCCTATGTAAGCATCGTGTGAGCAGCTTGGTCATTGCCCTATGCAAACTTTAATGACAACTTGATTAATGGCTGGATCCCTTGTGTAGGCAAAAAGGGAGCTATCTCTGATTCCCCAATATCTGCTGCAACAGGGCTGCTGTCTTCATGTAGTTCCCTACTGGCTAAGAAATTTCAGGTATAAGACCTTATGCCATAAACCTTTCCTTCTATTTAAATGTGACATCTCAGTATCAAGACCTGATGAGCATATGTGTCCAGACCTGCAACCACTACACTTGACTGTCTAGCTTCAGGTTAGATGAACAGCAGCAACAAAGGGTGCAGACTTACTACGAAAGCCATAAAAGATTTCTTGCCACTGTAGCTCAAAACTGCATGAATCTGATAGAGGCCCTGGCCTCAAAGATTTTATATTGCATAGTGCCATTCATCTTTCTGAAAGTTCTTCTGGTGGGTATAACTGCATACCGTGCTCTAATTTAGACACTAGAGATCTAAATCTCAACTGGACCTTTAATGTCATTCTCTTGCAACTCACGGAACTGCTCTTCCACCTTCACATTAAGACAGCTTTCCTTAGTTTTTCTATCCTACTGATTCTCTGTGCAGACAGCATCCAAGCCCTTACAGCTAGGCTACCAACCTTGGTGTTTCATGAGAAGACATGGTCTCAGAATTCTGTTCAGATCAGTCAGGTATCTTAGCAGTCTTCTTTCTGAAACCATACTCTTTGGATGACAAAACCTATTTGCTCTGGAGTTCTGCTGTATTTCTGAGATAGGACTAGTTTAAAAATAAACTGCTTAGAAAATGTCTATACTAGTGGTGCTCAACCTTTTGATCCCAAGTGACCCAGAGCCCATCTGAGGGTCAGATTGGGATGTCTGAGAGCCAGACAGGCCCCTGGGGCCTGGCACCATCCCCTCCCTATCCTACACATCAGGATTGGGCCCTGGGGTCTAGCACCACCCCATCCTGCTCTCGCACTGAGATTGGGGCCTGGGGCCATCCTTGTCTGGCCCTGTGCACTGAGATTTAGCAGCAAGGGAGTAGTGCCACTGCTCCCCTGCCACCAAATTTACGGACCCCTGGGGAGCCCCACAGGCCAGATGACACAGTATCATGGGCGAGATCTGACCTATAAGCTGAAGGTTGAGCACCCCTAGTCTATACCATGTCTACAGTGAGGCCGAGACCATTGCTGGGAAGGAAGCAGTGCCCGTTGCCTCTTGTTCTGCCTGTGTAATATTCTGTGAACATGTAACAGTACTCACATTTCTCCCTACCTTTCTAAGCAGTCATTAACTCCTCTTCAGGCCAAAATCCAAAAAATACAAAAATGTCAGTGACTCCCATGGGGCCAGAATTTTACCCCAGAAATTTAAATCAATTTTCTGTAATTTTGAATCTGTAAATATTTGTTTGGAATGCTGTCCCCCCAAACCACAGAAAATATCTCCCCTCCTCCTTTTACTGTTATTATGTTTCAGAAGAATGGTTTCAAGGGTGGGAGGGTCTGTTTTTTCTTGCTTGTTTTTTAACTTTCCGGTATTCTCAAGAGGATTTTGGCAGGATCTTTGGAGGATATGAATAGTGTCACAAACAACTGTTGCCTAGACCGCAGTTCTCCCTCAACAAGCTTAGTGAATTCCCTCTATCTGGCATACTCCTACTTTTTAGGTTGTTTAGCTGGGCTTGTTTTTAATTCTCAAGTTGTTTGACTGGAATAGGGGTGTATTGCCAGAGCCAGGGGAAGAGAATTAGTGATCCAGGGCCAAGAACTGTCCTTCTGTGAAGGAACTTGGCCGCAGCCTTTATATAACTTCAGGTCAGCCTTTTTCTTCAGCTAAGCGTATCATTTTTCAACACAAGTAAGATAAATTACAGGTAATAGCACTAAAACCTGGGTATTCACCACACATTTTATAAAGCCTCATGCATTCATTGTTAGCAGGCAGAGAGCATTAGATGCCATACATATAGGTCACTCGCTCCCAAGCAAGGGTCCAAACTCCCCACAAGCAGATCTTTGCCATATTCAAATGCTCTTTTGAAGCACTGTGTGACCCACTTTTATCTTTCAGGTATTGGGTTAAGCCCAATACCTGAAAGATAAAAGTCAATGAAATTTTACCACTGACATCAGTAGTGCTGAAATTTCACTCATTGTTCTTAAGACATGGAACTATTGATATGTTTGGTGCAATACAAGAGAAATAAAAAATGGTTGTTGTCACTGGTCAGTTATGTATGAGGAGCACTGGGCCAGGCAAACCTTGGTTGTATTCTATGTTTTGGAATACAGAACACTTCACTAGTCACTTAATCTTTCAATGCCTCAGCTTCTCCATCAATAAAATAGGAATATATGTCTTCCTTTAGGAAACACTTTAAGACTTACAGGAGAAAAAAGCTTATTATTTTTAAACGTTAAAGAAAACCTCAGTAACCTGAAAACTTATAATACAAAGAGCAACTTTGCATTAAAAAGCTACAGATATTCTTCCTCCATAGTCTCTGTTTATGCCTGGGGCATGTTGCAGAGGGAACTGTTCAGTGACTGGATTTGAACAATAATTACTGTAATAAGAAAATGGGACTCCTGTTTTGTTCCAAGTTCTAACACACCTGCTGTGCACTGAACTTTTTGCTCATGAAATCTGAAGCGGACCTATAGTACTTGTCGGTTCATTAACAATATTTAAGTTGTTAGATGAGGTATTTCTGTAAAAAAAGAAAAAAAGAAAAAAAAAGGATGGTCAGCTCCCTCAGTTTCGTTCTGACTTCCACTAATTACTGGTAGACAAGAAACTGTTTAGTAAGGATTTATTAAGTGTACTAATTTGTTTCTCCTTTTCATTCTACAGAACTTACAATAGAAGAATGCTGTGAGAGAGGTAATGAATGGGCAACTAAAAATAGAGGATGCAGTTCACTCCCATTTCTTTCTGAGTCCAGAGAATGCAGGTATATTTTTACTTACTGCTGATTGCTAAAAAATGATGATGAGGGGCATTAGAGCTGGTTGGAGTACCAAAAAAAATCACTTTGGAAAGTTTGCAATCATCATGTTTTGCTTTCCCATGGGAATTTTATAACTTAGGTAAATACAGTGTGTTTAATTTTGAAATATTATCTCAAAAATTGGCTTTTAAAAAACGTCCTTACAGTTTTCCCCTTAAGTTTATCCAGTCATAAAATAGTAAAAAAGGATGGAAAGTTGGCTTTCCCCCACTTCTTCGTACTGGATACAGGGAAAAATAAACAGAGATGGGGTGGGGGAAAAAAAGTAAAACCTCTGATAAGCCAAAAACTATAAGTGGATTTTTTTAAAGAACTTTACTTTTGAATTTGAGAAACAAGATAACAGTATAAACTAAGATTAAAGGGCAAACTTGGGGGAAAATTACCTTTTAAAAAAATTCAGACAACTCTCTCATCTTAGTGAGAAGAAGGACAAGCAAGCGGAGAAATCATTTTGCTAAAGCATAAGACTAGGACTGTGGAAGGCTTACATTCCCTTGGTGCCTGAGTATCTGCCAATAAAATTCCATAAAGTTTTGTTCCTGGACATGTGCAGAGTTACTTAAGTCTTGACAGACCTGAGGTGCTCAGCATGCATCTCATGCCTTAAGCACCCCCTGCATCCCTCCACGTCCACCTTCCTGCCTGCCCAAAGATTCATAAACTAGGTCTGTCCCCCCACAACCTATTTTGCCTGTAGAGACTTGTCCAGATCCTCAGCTGATGTAAATCAGCATAGCTCTGTCCACTTCAGTAGATCTCTGTTGATTTGCATCAGTTGACAATCTAGCCTAATGAAAAAAAGCTTGACTGAAAGTCAAACAATAACACTAATTGATCTATATATATTTGAATAATAATTGATATATTTTAATAATTTTTCTTCAGTGCACTGAAATGAAGGAAATTGGTGCACTTCCTCTTTGGGTATATTCATAAATGGGAAAGTATTAATCACACATCATAAGAGAAACTATATTCCACATAACAAGAAGGTCTAACTTGAGTTAGCTTTATGTTTCTGTGTATACAGATTACATTTGAGCACATTAGACTTTCTTTTTTAATTCTATTGAAATTAACTATTAAGAGGGCACTAAACCATCTTATCTGATCTGAGGAAAGAAGTTAAATGTTGATTTTATTTTTGCAAGAGGCAAGGATTTCTTAGGGTGTTATCTTTTCATAGATTTCATAGACATTTGGGCTGGAAGGGACCCGGAGGATCATCAAGTCCAGCCCCTTGCCCAAGGGGCAGGAAGTCAGCAGGGATCATAGGATTCTAGCAAGATAAGCATCCAAATGTATCTTGAAGGCATTCAAAGTGGGTGCTTGAACCACCTCCGGCGGCAGTCTATTCCAAACCTTGAGGGCTCGGACAGTAAAGAAGTTCTTCCTTATGTCCAGCCCGAATCAGTCATGGTGGAGTTTGTGACCGTTCAATCTTGTTATCCCTTGGGGCGCTCTGGTGAACAGACATTCCCCCAGATCCTGATGAGCACCCCTGATAAACTTATACATGGCCACCAGGTCACCCCTGAGCCTGCACTTTTCTAGGCTGAAGGGCCCCATGGCTCTCAGCCTGTCGTCGTAAGGTCTGTTTTCCTGACCTCTGATCATGCACATGGTTCTCCTCTGCACTCTCTCAAGCTTCTCCACATCCTTTTTGAATTGTGGAGCCCAAAAACCTGGATGCAGCACTCCAGCTGCAGCCTCACCAAGGCCGAGTACAATGGGAGAATGATGTCCCGGGATTTGCTTGAGAAGCATCTATGGATGCAAGCCAGTGTTTCGCTTGCTTTACTAGCTGCAGCATCACATTGAAGACTCATGTTCATCATGTGGTCAGTCATGACCCCCAAGTCCGTTTCATTTGTAGTGCTAACCAGCGTAGCACTGCCGAGCCTATAAGTATGCTGCCAGTTTTTCCTCCCAAGGTGGAGAACCTTGCATTTTTCGGTGTTGAACACCATCAGGTTCTCATCTGCCCATTTCATGAGCCTGTCAAGATCTGCCTGGATCACCCACCTGTCCTCAGGTGTGGCTGCTTTACCCCAGAGTTTGGTGTTGTTGGCAAACTTGGCCAGTCCACTTCTGACACCAATGTCCACATCATTGATGAAGATGTTAAACAGAATAGGCCCTAGGACAGAGCCTTGAGGGACCCCACTGGTGACTGCGCACCAAGACGATTGACTTCCGTCAGTCACCACCCTCTGGGTCCTACCGTGGAGCCAATTTCCCAGCCAACGGATCGTGGTGAGGTCAAGGCTGCAGTTAGCCAGTTTTGCCAAGAGGTGATCATGAGATACCAGATTGAAGGCTTTTTTAAAGTCAAGATATACAACATCAATTTCTTCCCCCTTGTCCAGGTGTTAGGTCACCTGGTCATAAAAGGCAATGAGATTGATCAAGCAAGACCTACTCACAACAAACCCATGCTGGGTATCCCTCAGGATATTGCCATCAGACCAGCTATATAGTTGGGCTAAAGTTAGAGCAACTTTTGAATGAAAGACATTCTTCTTCCAGTATTTATTTTTATATAAGTAGAGCAAAATCAGAGAAACTAGCTCTGAATGGAAGTAAGTGACTTGTTGCCCTGGCTAGTTACTTGAAAGAAGACCAATTTAGAAGTTGACTGTGTACTTTGCCTGTGTGCTGTTGACATATTTACGGTTTCTAGAGTCCCTGACTTTGAGGTGACTTAGAAGGAAGACTGTGCCAGAGACAGTGCCCCAGAACGGAGACCTGAGGAAAAATATCTTGCATTCAAAAACTTGTCTAACTCTACCCAAATACGTGGTTGGTTCAGTACAAGATATCACTCTAAGAAATCCTTGCCTCTCATAACTTCTGGACCATCATGGCTACAACATCACTCTTATACTACTGATTATATTTTTATAATTTTGTAAAATTAATGCTAAAGCTCCTGGGTTATATGAGTGTGCCCGCCTGACTTCACGGAGCATCTCCCATGTGGCCCTGGAGAGTGTGCTAGGGGGTCTGTCGCAAGGACGGCTCCTGCTGTCGTGACATGGGATCACGTTTTCCATGTGGGATACCCTGGTACTTTCCTGCCATGTCTTGGGTGTTATGTTCAGTAGAAGGGTTCCCTTCCATTGTGGGGGAATGCATTAGGCATTGTCATTAATGGGTGTTCTTGGGGCTCCACCTTCCCTACACCCTAGCCATGTGCCAGCCTACCGGGACTGCCAAATGATAGGTGATTCGGCTTTGCCTAGATGTAGTATCCCACTCCCTCTCTGCCACACTGGTCCCTGGTGTTTGCAACGGTCTTCCCTCCCACCACACAGGTTTGCCTGCGGTGGTGCGATGGCCTCAATGATGGGTCTAGCCTCTCCATGTTGGAATCTCCTGAGCGGCCCTGGCCTGTTCAGTCCTCGGCATCTGCCCTATGGCCTCCTCTCTGGCCCTGGGGCTTCAAAGTAACTGAAAAAAGAACCAAAATTCCAGGGAGGAGCCTCTGCCCACTCCCCACTCACGCATCCTGTGTTTGCCGCCTTTGCGATCTTTTGTTATTCTCTTCCTGGCCAACTCCCTCACCATCCAGGGTGGTGTGGCCCTTTAACTCAGGCCTTGGACCATCCTGTGGGGTCCCTTGCCAGCCCCTCCTTGCATGAGCCTGGGGTCTCTGTTCAGCCTGGGGGGAGGGGAGGGGCTGTCCCACAGCTACCTCCCTGCTGCATCCCCACCTGCTGCTTTCCTGCTGCTGGCTTTTATTCCTGCCGGGAGGCATTCCAGGATGATGTCATTGGGGCGTGCTGGCTCCAGCCTCAGAGAAAAGCAGCTGATGAATTGCGTGGGTGCTCCGCCCCTCCGTAGTTCATCTGGCCCGGTTGAGCCTGGAGGAGTTGAGTTTGCTCCATTCTCAGGGCTTTTCTTTTTGGCATTGTGGCAGGTTGTTGCTGCCATGACCCAGGCGGGGGGAGAGGTCTCCCGCCCCTTTCTTATCATCCCCCGGGACAATGAGACATTCATATTTTCTCTTGGAAAAAGTGACTTTGCCTTAAACTTTTTTTAACACTTAAGTTATGGAGCTGACTATATGATTGATTGAAAGGCAGCTTCTGAACAGACTTGATATTTCTCCATCAAACACATTGCCATACCTCCTTTTCTCCTTCCCTCCTCCCTCTGTCTCTGTCTCTGTCTCTCTGTCTGTCTCTCAATGAACTGCAAAGTCCTGTGTAATTGTAGAAGTGTTTGGATTGATCTTTGTTATGGAAAGAATGTGTTTTGCAATGATGTCTCTGCCTTGTTTCTGGCTTTTTGCATTTATATTGGCAATGAAAACAGTCACGCATAAGAATTGACAGATAGGCCTTAAATCCTAAATTAGGAAATAGTTGAAGAGTCAAAAGAATTGCAGACAAAACAAAGACAGGGAAAAACAGGAAATCAAGTCTATTGAACAATTTGGAAGCAAAAGTATTTAAGATTTAATGATCAATTAATTAGTGTGAGCTGAGATTCTGATGCTAGTGAAATTTATCCTTTTGAAGTTTTTAATTGTAGAAAGAGCCTTTAAGACTTCACTAAAATCTTAAAATGTGCTTAGTTTATCCATAAATCTTTTGTATATATTGAAGGAGAGATTCTACAAAAGATGCTACATTGCCATAGTGATGAGCTACAGTGATGTAGCTCATCACTATGGCAATGTAGCATCAATGGGCATGACCAGTGATGCCGATGCTATTGTGCAGTAGGGTTGGAAATGCCCGTGTGCCACCAAGACTGTGCAGTAATGGTGGTTACCACGCAGTCATTTAGTACTTGCTTTAGCCAGAGCAAGTACTAAATGACTGTGCAGGTTGGGGACACCTGTAGACACGTCCAATTAGTAGAATCTTAACTTCAGAGCCTTTCTCTGAAAAGTGAATAATGGCATCCTGAAAAGTGAAAATGAAAAATGA